TCACCATTTTGACCAGGATGGTCTCGATCTCTTGACCTCGTGATCCACCCGCCTCGGCCTCCCAAAGTGCTGGGATTACAGGCGTGAGCCACCACACCCTGCCAGCTTTTTGTATTTTTAGTAGATACAGTGTTTCACCATGTTAGCCAGGATGGTCTCAATCTCCTGACCTCATGATACGCCCGCCTTGGCCTCCCAAAGTGCTGGGATTACAGGCGTGAGCCACCACACTCGCCCTGACTTGGTATTCTTGACCCGATAAGCCCTGGGGTGTGTTTCAGAAAACACTGGCTGGCTGTGATGGTTGCCCTGGGTGCCCAGCCTCGTGCCCCTGGCCCTTGCCTAGCGGTCCCACCTTATTCAGTAGGAACTCGTCCAGGTACTTGAGCTCATTGGCATTGGTGATCTGGCGGAATACCGATTCCCGCCACTTCTCTGACACCGTGATCTTCCCAATCTTGACGTTTCGGTTCTTCTTCCCTTTGCTTCCGGGTTCCTTGGTGCGCTTCTCACCTGCAGTGTGGCGGTGCTGGTTTCCAGAGGGGGCTGTGGGGGGACAGGAAGCAGCCGGTGAGGGCGGGTTCGGGGGAGGATGCAGAAGACCTTTTATGGCACGCCTTTATCCAGAGCCAGAAACCCCCGGCTCTGAGCCTAGGGCTTGGCCCACAGCCAACTCACGGCTTGGTCTGGGGACACTGAATGTCCCCAGGGGCACCGGTGGCTCTGCTTTCTGTCCCTGAGGCTGCAGGTGACCAACCTTCCAGGCTCTTCTTCATGGTGGTGGCTTCCGGCACCACGTGCCCGGACACTGCATTCTCCAGCTCCTCTGCACCCTCCAGGCTGTATTTTTTATCCTTGGTTTTATGCAGAAAAAGCCTCTTAAATGTGGATCTGCAGGAGAAAGTACGTGACTTCTTTTAAGTCTGAAAAGAACATGGGCCGGGCGCGGTGGCTCAAGCCTGTAATCCCAGCACTTTGGGAGGCCGAGGCGGGTGGATCACGAGGTCAACAGATCGAGACCATCCTGGT